TATTTTCGATAAGTTAAATTGCGTCGTCGAATAATAAACCAGCAATAATTTTATTTGTTTTTCATCGTTTATCTCTCATTTGCCTATTCGTTAGAATGCAACACGCGTTTGTATTGGCGGAAACAATGATGACGATCAAATAGGAATCATGTCGTCGCGACGTTGTTTTAGACAAATAGAATTTCGGCGGCTTAGTCGACCAATCGCGTTTAAGAAAATGGGAAAGATCGTATCGCGATTCGTTCGCGTCCTAAATCAACCACCAGTTTTCCTTTCAGCATTTCTATGAACAACAAAAATACAAAAAATTTCATTAATCGGATGTGATCAACTAAAAAAGTATCTCGAAATAAGAATTTAAACAGAAATGATCGTTCAATAATTTAATATTCTCTTCGAGGAAGTCTTATAAATTATCAACCAAAAAAATATGGTCTCCGTCTTCGTCGTTGTCGTTGTCGTCGTCAACGTCATCGTCATGCCATGGCAAAGAAAAAAAAACGACAGAAGAAAAAGAGAGATGAGTAGGGGGAAGGAAGAGAAGGGATGGAGAGTGGAGTAAGAGATAGCAGGGAGGGACGAGAAGGGAAGGAGAGGAGAAGGGAGGGGCGTACGAGGCATTCGCCATAAAGAATCGAGTTACAAAACCGGGTTGCAAAAGGTCTGTACGGCGAAGTGGTAGCAGCAGCCTTGCAAGCAACGCGTTGGCCAAGTATACGCTGATGGAAGCAACGAGCAACGACCACGACCGCACCAACGGCAGCAATGGCAGCGACGTCGTCGTCGTCGTTGTTGTCGCCGTCGTCGTTGCCGTCGTCGTCGTTGTTGCCGGCGCCGTCGTTGTTGCCGGCAATGCTGAGTCACCGGTGCTACGTTGCCGCTACGACGATTTTCCGTCGCGCGCGCGTTGGCTACGAGTTGGTGTGGCGTTGCCGAGTTTCCTGCGCCGCTCCCTTCCCCCTCCAGTCACCGCGACGAGCCTAGCGAGGTCAGCCCCTTCCGTCTCTGCGCCATCGTTGTTGCCGCACTCGCGCTCTCTCGTGCAACGTGCGCAGAACGTTTGCGCGAGAGAGATGGAAATACGAGGAACATGGTTATATTCGTCGAAGAGAGAGAGAGAGTGAGTGAAGGGGAACGAGAGACAAAGACGAAGAGAGGGAGATATCGTCGAGGAAGATAGAACACGAACGCCGCACAACGCGTTCAAATTTCATTGCGTCGGTTCTCCCCTCTACTCTTTTCCTCCCTCTAACCATCTATCTATCTATCTATCTATCTCTCTCTCTCTCTCTCTCTCTCTTTTTCTCTTCTATCTCGTTGGTTTCTCTCTTGCGTCCGTGGAGAGCGCGGAATTCAGAGAAAACGTCGGTAATGGAGTTTCGTGACGCCAACGGTAGAGCAGCAGCATCGCGCTTTAACGCCGGACACTATCCGCTCATACGGCTCTTCCAAAGAGGTTTTACCAACAGGGTAGTAAAGATGCACGGGGTCTCTTCTTCTCTTCTAGTACTACGATAATATCCTTCCCAGTTCCCTCCACTCCCTCCTTCCGCTATTCCACCGACCTTTTTTTCTTTCTCTCGTTTTCTTTCTTACTGTCTGTCTATCTCTGGAATATGAAGAAAGAGAGAAAAAGAAAAAGAGAAAGAGACAGTGAGAGAGAGAGAGAGAGAGAGGGAGGTAGAGAGAGTAAAGAAGAAATAACACGTTGGAAATGAATCCAAGTTTGGCTCGGAACAGCAGCAGCAGACGTGTATACACGTACTATTCGGCTCGATCGATAGAATCGCGCGAGATATACGCGACGGCTATGCCGTTAGCTCTCTTTTTCGATCCACGTTGCGCGTCCTCTTCCTCCACCGTTCCATTAACACGACTCTATTTTTCTCATTCCCTTTTCTTCCATTGCCGGGACATTTACGACGATGATGTGGGGAAATGGTTGGCAACGAGGAGAAAGGCGCGAAAACAGTTCATCCGTCAGCTCCCTGTTTACGAAGATATCAAGCGATTTTTCCAACAAAAGGAACGAACAACCGAATCAAAGACTCCGTTGACCTATCTCTTTCCTTTATTTCCTTTCATACTTTACAGTCAATTTTTATCTGTAAAAAAAGACTCGTCTATCTGAGAAATAATACAATTAGATACTTGGAATATAATAATTGATGAAGACAAAATGAACGGACTGAACTTTTGGTATTCCGAATCCGAAGGGGGTCTCTATTTACGTCCTAACTCGATGTCCTTACAATATTTAGACTAATCGATTACGCGTTAGAACGATCTCTCGGAAAAGCACGTTCCAAGGATAACGTCGTTTATCCGTGCTTGGAACATTTTTGAAAAGGTAGGAGTAAAGTTGGTATAGGACGGTTATGAAAATGGCGAAGAGAAGGACGATAAAAGGGCGTACGTGAAACGTATACTTCCGGCACACAAACCCAAACTGAAACCTACATCTACACCCACACCCACACCCACACCCACACCGAACATAGTAGTAGGACATACACATGAGAGTACAAACGTATAGATGTATGTATGAAGGTATACGCATATACCATCCAGGGTATGGTACATACGCATCGCAATGCAAATGCGAGTGACCCGATAAAGCTGCATTGGGTCATAGAAAGGGAAAATACAACCTACAAACGGCTCCCGCCAAAATACGATTTTTATAGCCTCTCGGCGGCACGCCGCCAGCCGTTTGCTTCTCTATCTTCCCCTCTCTCTCTCTCTCTCTCTTGCTTTTCGCAATGACGTCCACCACCATCGTTTCACTCCCTCGGCCTCAATTCTCCTCCTAGATTCTCCAGGCCATCCCTCGGAGTCACCACCCACGTTGCCCTCCACCTTTTTCCCTTTTTTATCCCTTCTCTTTACCCTCCCCGTTACTTCTCCTCCTCTTCCACACCCCTTCCTCTTCTTCCTTCTTCCCTTTCTCCTCCTCCTCATCCTCCTCCTCCTCCATCTACACCCACACCCACACCCTATTCGACCCCCTTTCAACCCCCTAACTGGGAATAGAAACTCGCGTCGCTCTTCTTCTTCTTCCGCTCCATCCACCCACGGATTCTCTACCTTTCTCTTTCTCTTTTTCTTTCTCTGCACGATGGAATCTATCTCTGAATTAAAGGAAGAAAAGAGAAAAACGAGAGAGAGAGAGAGAGATTCTCTAAACTCTAAAAATACTCCCCCGATCGACCCTCGAATGCGTTCTCCTCGCTTTCTTTCACCTTCCTGTCTCGGTACTTCGCGATCGACCTCTACAACTCTTCATCCTCATTCTTTCTCAAAATTATTCGATTCATATTGAAATATCAGTGTTCAGTGAATTAGAATTCAATCGATATTTGATATATTATTTTTACTATTAATTACAAAGTGTAATGATTTTGTGTGGAATGATTATGAACATTATTGATGTAAAAATTAAAAAAATTACGATATTTTTAATCATCCCCCCTGTCTTTACACCAAATAAGTTTTTGAATATTATTTATATTACATAGTAATAATATTTGAGAACACAATATAATACTATTATCGAAGTAAAAACAAAATTGCAACAATGTTGAAAAGTCAACTTATTTTTATACTATTTATGAAATTTATATAGATAAAATATTAATAGAAATTATTCTAATTGCACAGGGCGTCAAAATTTCTAGATTGACAAAATACTATATAAATATATCCTCAAAATTTATTTCTTTCCTTCTAAACATTATCCCTTAAAAAAAAAAACATAAATAATTATTTCGTATAATTTATTAAACAAATTGTGTGATAATACACGCGTATAATATAATAAAACGACTAAATTGTTTTCAATCTCATTTGAAATGCACCAAGGTAAATCAACCCACCTACTTCATTTTCTCTTCATCCCTCTCCATCTTTCTCTTATTTCCTCTTTAGGTTCTCACACTTATGCACAACATTGACGACTTTCTCGAAGAGATTAAAGGGAAATTCTTAGAGGGTTGTTAACGCTAACCGTAGAAACCGAGAAAAGGTTGATAGGATTTGAGTAGTTTGAAAAGAAGAGAAGAATAAGTCGTCCGTTCGTTCGTTCGTTCATCTTCGAATGACCTTGAATCGAGAGGTAGTTCGAATCGATTCAAATCGTTCTCCTCTCTTCGACACAGCATATATCGACGGCACCGAGTGTTTACGCTTTCCACGTGGCGCTTCACTTCAACACCCACTGCCACGAGTTCCTAAAGTCCACGGAGTTTCGCTAAAGTTTCCTAATCGTAGGCTGGGGAATCCTTTCCCTCAACCCCCGTCCCCATTTTCTCTCTCTTTCTCTTTCTATCTTTCTCTCCCTCTTACACTTTCCTCATCCTCTCATGAAGTAAGTATCCCCTATCGTAGTTTCTTCAGGCATTAAACTTTGACAGAGGTACTTGACCGAATTCTGCGACGGGATATCAAAAGCCCAATTGCTTTCTTGGAAACGTTAATGATCTACCCCCATAACGTAATTTTATTAGAATAATATACTCATTTTGTGCCATTCAACAAAAATATACACCAGATAAGATACGTTTCCTTTGATACGTTGTAAAAATGATTTTTCCTCTCTGGTTTATATAAAATGTATATTAAATGTGTTTTAATATGTGTTATACAATTTTTATGATATCGTATAACATTATTACATTTAAATCGTGTAAACAAAAAAAAAACATTTCAAAATATTCACTAATATTTAAAACGGTATACATTTATGTGAAATTTAAGTTACGCGTATTTTACTAAATCGTAATAATTATCTTGAAATATTATATAAAACATACGTTAGACGTGTATTTGTGCGTGTACAACGCACGAATGAAATTGTTAATTATGTGAAATTTCTTGTTAATCGTAATTAAAGTATTCGTTGATAAAAAAAAAATATCGAAAAATATAAAGCCATCCACCCCTTCTTCTTCTTCCTCTTCTTCTTCCTCTTCGTATTCTCTCTCTCTCTCTCTCTTCTTTTAAGATCTATTTTTTGTATTATTTTGTTCTTTTTCTTTTTTATTTCAACCCTAGCAGCAGCAGTCCCGCGAAACTCTCGGGTTCTCGATTCGCCGGGCTGATCTCACGAACGATGATGCGCTCGAGGGGTGAACGCGAGCTAGGCGGTCTTCTTCTCTCCAATCCCCCTAAGAGTGAAAGAAAGAGAGAGAGAGAGAGAGAGAGAAGAAGAAAAAAAAAAAGAAAAGAGATATATATAAAAATGGGAAGAAGAGGAAGAGGGAAGAAAATGAAGACATCGAATGAAGAGGAGTAACTCGAAGTTGTACGCTTCGTCGAGAGAAACTCGATCAATGGCCTAGTCATATATAAACGTAAATACGTCTATACATGTGTGTGTGTATGTGTGTGTAAGTACTTACATATATTAATGCATTGTTGTGTACAAATGTAAGAACTTATCTTTCCATCCTACTGATAACAATTCTCTTTCCATACTATTATTATTATTATTATTATTATTCACGTTAGAAGGAAGAACAAATAATGTAGACAAAAAGAATCATTTGATAAAAAAGTAGTTACTGCATTTTTTAAGCTTTCAATAGTCTGGTCATGCATACAAAATTATATATTTATATGTGTTTTAGTAAGTACTTATATGTATACACAAAAATTCATTAATGTGTGTGAATAATTATCTTTACATCCTACCGATAACAATTCACTGTCAATACTATTATTATTACTATTCATATTAAAAAGAAAATAATAGAGAAAAGAATTATTAGATAAAAAAATATAGTTACAGGCTATAATTTGATATTACAGAAACAATCGTCGTTGGAATATTTCCGAATAAAGAGAAAAAAAAAAGAGAGAGAGAGAGAGGTATATCTCTAAAATAATATATATATATATATTTATTCTAACGTTCACAAAAGCAAAATTAAGTGATATCACGTTAATAAGTCTTTCGGTTATTCGTTAGTTCTATCTTCGGAAAGCAAGCAACAGCAACAGCAGCAGCAGCACCAGTAGGAGTCGGTAGCAAGCACGAGGACACCGGCATCAGCATCAGCATCAGCATCGAAGTAGAAGAGAAAGAGGTAGAGAGAAAATGAGGAAGAGAGAGGAAGAGAGAGGAAGAGAGAAAGAGAGAATCCCCACCATTTCGGCTTTCGCTCGAGTTACGAGCACCCCCTTCCCTATGGTTCCGTTAGTTTCCCCTCGTTCCTGTCCCCCTCCTTACCCCTTCATTTCCTCTCTCTCTGTTGCCTCATCGTACTATCGTCTCCTATGCTAGTCCATGATTCTTTCTCTCTCTCTCTCTCTCTCTCTCTCTCTCTTACACACACACATATACAGACTCACGCGCGTATATTAGTTGGTACATATAGATATATATTCTCTGTTAGTACCTTTCCATGATGTGTTGGTAAATGTATATACTCGTATATATATGTATAGTATATATGTATGTGTTAGTTGGAACCACCCCTATTCGATAGACGAGAGTGGCACACGTTCGTACTCGAACACAAGCGAGAGTTTACCGTCTGCGCGTGCGCACCCTGTCTCAAGCATTCTCTCTATGTACTTACGCGTATATATATAATATATGTATATAAAGTACATATATACATTAGGTGGGTGTGTAGAGCGAGTTCACGTGGAGGTTGCTTCAAACTCATCCCACCTAAAGCGGACTGAGCGACTCGGCACACTGCGCTCTCACATCCACCACGCTCCTAGCTTTTTGTAGAAATATACACGTGAACGTGAAAGGTTCGGTATGGCGCTCGCGCGAGTCTGGCGAATGGAAGAACGGGGGTCTGGGGGAATTATCGAAGCTACCAATACAGTCTAACTCTCTTTAGGTGCCGCGCGCACAAGCACACCGACACGGAAAAAGCTTCGCGATAATGTACGTTCACTACCATCGCCATCGCCAACACTAACACCATTACTATTACTAATACCATCACTAGGACTACTATCAACACTACTACCATTATCCTAGTCACCGTGCAGCAACGTTGCTAAAGCGTTCACACGGATACACACCCCCGAAGGATTCGGTGACTATCCGTTCTCCTCGAAACACCCTCTTCCACCCCACACCCCTTCCGCCCCCTTTCACCCCACCGTCACCACCCCACTCGCTCTGACCGGGTTACGCTTGCAAGCGCACTATCCCTCGTTTCCTACCCTTCGATCCCCCGGACCCCTTTTCCCACCCTCTCTCTCTTTCTTTCTCTTTCTCTCTCTCTCTCTCTCTCTCGCTCTTTCTCCTGATTCTCCTCTTTTTGCTCGTCTCCGGAGGACGACTACTAGCCAAAAACTGGAAAACAGCAGAACGGAAAAGCGAAGTAACTACGTAGACTCTTCTTTCCTTGGCTTAGCTCTATTTCTCTCTCTCTCTCTCTCTCCCTGTCTCTTTCTCTTCCATTGATATAGGCTGTATAATGATTTATTCATCAATCAAATTATCCTTTTTGTAAGCGTTATTTTTGTAAAAAAAAAAATAATATAACAACGTTCTATTCTCCGTCTCTACGACAGAATATTGTCTGTGGATGATTAACAAATATTTCTAATTAGATTTTATATTCGATATATTGCAATTATTTCTTGTTTAAAACTTTTCCCGTGCACGTGCGCGTGCGTGTTTCTATCTTTTTTTTTTCTTTTGAATATTAATAATCAGAGAAAATACAATATATTATATAATGAATGATACAAGATCTCTCTCTTTCCCTCTCTCTCTCTCTCTCTCTCTCTCTCTCTCTCTCTCTCTCTCTTTCTCTCTTTTTTCCTATATTTTTCTCTGTTATTAAATATAACAAATAAAAGAAGAATACCATTTGCGAGTTTAACGCACAGAACTTCTCTTTCTCTAATTATTACTGAACGATTGCAATCTTGTTAATATATCCCGGGATAAATAAATAAATATTATTATAAATGATTTAAATAAAGATGATAATATCGAGTATGTAACGTTAATCAATGCCTACGGCCCCTTATATAATTATTCGTTAGTTCTTTATTACAATATCGATTATACCTATCGTCCGTGTATTAAATGTACCTTGTTACTTGTAAATGAACATAAATTCTCTCATTGATATAACCGAATCAATAGAAACGATAACGCGTACGTGTAATAATTCGTTACATACGCGTACATTTTCGTTATAAAAATGAGGATAATCAGATAATAAAACGTACGCTTATTTCAAATACGTTTAATCATAATTTACGCGTTAAAAAGCGTGCGATTAGAATGTCATCGAAAGGTATGTTCGTAATATTACTAATCCAAAAAATAAAATAAAATAAAATAAAACGAAAAACAAAAAAAGAGACAAAAAGTAGTAAGAGGAATCCCGCGTAATGCGATACGAATTTCGCGGGTCTTTGAGAAAGCGTGACGTCAACATCAGAGTACAACAGTTTCGAAGAGAAACGTTCATCCACTACACTGTGTACCGTTTCGCACGCGTGTAAACGTGTGCGTGCGGTGTGGTGTGCATTGTGTAGCAGTGAAATGGGAAAAGGAAGGGTGTAGATGGATGGATGGAGGGTAGGAGGAGGAGGAGTAGAATGAGGGGGAGGGGTTCGGTGGTGGTGAGCTTGTCGAAGAGGAGACATGCCACGCGAGAGAAGCAAGAAGAAACGGCTCGCACTCCCACGCCGGAAGGATAGGGAGTTGTATGAATATACCGTGTACTGGTAAGAGAGAGAGAGCACGCCGTTCCCGATGAAAAAGATAGAAAGAAATAAATAAATATAGAAAGAATAAGAGAAAGGGAGAGAGAAAGAGAAAGGGAAGGAAAAAAAAAAAAGATGATCGCGCTTGGTTCTCCTCTTACGGTGCCTTTCGCGGAGCAACGCGACTTTCGAAGTAACACAACACAACAAAACACAACACAACGGCACGCGTCTCTTCTAACTATCCAACAACCGTGTATGTGTATCTTTCTCTTTCTCTTTTTCTTTTTTTTTTATCTTGCCCTTCTATTTCCCTCCATCGAACACGAATATATACGTTCATACGTATACAAGCATGTATTATTGGTAACCTGTACAGATATTATATGGTGGTTGTTACATCCATCCACGCGTGGTGAAAGCAAAGAGGCAGAGAGAAGAGACAGTGAAAGGTGACGGCCATGATGATACTTCTTTTCGTGATCTAGCAACTTTTCTTTTCTTTCTCGATTCTCGACATCAATGACGAATATAAGAAAAAAAAAGAAAGTATATAATTATACAATATAATATATTTTTGAATTACACATATCTTTAACTTGAATTTTATAGAATTGAAAAAATTATTTCTTTCAAAATGATATCTAAATATGTGTATATATATATACGTATTTGAATGAATATAGTCGATCAAATCGTTAATTATATACAATTTCTATAAATATATTTATGGTAAGGAAAAAAAAAATAAAAAAAAAAAAAATAGTAAGGACAATTCTATTTAATAATAATAGTAACAGTAGCAGTAGTAGTAATAGTAAGTAGTTGCTAGAAACTCAGAAATGAAGGTAGAGGCTTTGGGTAAAACGAAGAACGTAATTTACGATTCTTCTGCATCGGGGAAAATGTCATGGAACAGAGTCTTCTACATCCTCGTCATCATCGAGGGGCTCGGCCGTCGTACCGAGTCCAGGCTAGCATAATCTGGCCTGCATCTCTCTCTCTCTTTCTCTCTCTCTCTCTCTCTCTCTCTCTCTCTCATCGTCGTAGTCGTAGTCGTCGTCTTCGTCGTCGTAGTCGTCGTCGTCTTCGTCGTCGTCGTCGGTTCTGTCTCTGTCTCCATAATTCAACCCTCGTCGTGATTGGTCGACGCAGCGCGCTGACGTCACGCGAAAAGCAGTGGGATAACAAGCGGGATTGTGGGGTGGAGAAATGGATAGAACGGTGGAGAGAAAAGAGAGAGAGAGAGAGAGAGAGAGAGAGGGTAGGAGAGAAAACGAAGAGAATGGCGAGAGAGAACGAAGGAAGGAAGGAAGGAAGGATGGACGGAAGAAAGGAAGGAAGGAGGAAGGATGGAAGGAAGGAAAGTGATGTGTAGGGGGGTGGAAGGGTTCAAAAGCGGGCTAGCTAGCGTAGCTTCCACAAAAATACCCTGTCAGATAGAAACTGGCGGGCGAACACGGTGCACGTTGCCGGCGAGTTACCAACCTAGTACAACCACCGAGCAGCTACAATTCGAGCAACCATCCCCTGCAATCACCACCCCTTGCTTTTAACAACCCCTCCTCTCTCTTCTCAGCACGAACCGGATTGAAACGATCATCATCTTCTTCGGATAGCGAAAGGTCGAATCGATTAATTAATTAATCCGTAATATCGAACAGGCTATGTAAACAAAATTCATTGAATTTTCGAACAACGGCAGGAACAATAAACAAAAAAAAGAAGAAAAAAAAAATAAGGGGGGAAAAAAAACAATGAGGAAATCAATTTTGTTGGAAGGAATAAAAAGAAAATAAAGGAACGAAGGAAAGGAAAGGAAAGGAAAGAAACGAAAGAAACGAAAGAAAGAAAGAAAGAAAGAAAGAAAAAGGAAGGGATCTCGAAGCTCTAGGTAGAAATGGAAGAGGAGGAACAACGTTGCCTCGAAAGATCGATTTCCAAGGAAAATGGCGTCCTGCGGCGCGCTTCGACCCCACGACCGACCCCTAGCTACCCCTCTCCACCACTATAGCCTGAGTCTCACCCACCTTCCCTCCCCTTTTTGCTACTCCTCTCCCACCGAGCAGTTCCCTTTTCCTCTTCCACCCCCGTCCTACTCGTGCCTCTTCGTTTCAACCCCCGCGCGCTTCGAACTCACGGTCGATGAAGTGGAGCTTTCTCTCTCTCTCTCTCTCTCTCTTTCTCTCTCTCTCTCATCTCTTGTTCTATCTCTATCTCTCTTTCACCCTCTGCTTTCCTACCCTACTCGCCAATTCTCTCTCGCTGTATACCACTGTACTATACATGTATGTGTGTATGTATAAATGATATATAGATACGTATCTATCTATTTATCTATCTATCTATCTATCTATCTATCTATTTATCTATCCATCTATCTATCTATATATCTATCTTTCTTTCCACTCATTTCACCCTCTCTTTGGTAAGATGAAAAGAGACAGAGAGAAAAACGCACATTGTGAAGAAGCAACTCATCGAGGAGAATGAACGTTCCGAGACGTTCTCGGGTAGGGAAGGGGCTTCATTATGCTTCTTCATTCGTAAACAAACGAGTAGATCTAACTTAAGATCCAGATCTAGAATAAGAGGAAGAAGAATACAGTGAATCATTTTGACGATCATCATCGATTTTATCCTCGATTTTTATACCTATCTTTTTCTTTCTTGATATAGCGATCTTAAAAATATATATAAAGCATTGAACTTTGATCTTTGATAAAAGAACTTAATACACTTTCGTTCGTAAATAGGAAAATCTTAAAGGACACACATAGGGTTGCAAATAAACTGGGATTTACTATAAGGTGGATGTAAAAATCGTTCTAGCCAATTTTATTTAGTCTATTTTCTCTCTCTATATCGATCTACCTTTACATAGAGCTTCCTTTTTTCGCATAAGAAAAGGATCTACGTAAAATACTACATATGTGTATGTATATACATATGACACCTACAAAGATACGGTATATCTGTATTTTCTAGAATTAGCAATAAATCCCGCTTCCGTGGAACGTCGAATGCAAGAAGAAGGAATATCATTCTACCCCTTGCACCGCCAACCATATCCCACGTAAAAAAGAGAGAAAGACAAAAATAAAAAAAAAAAAAAAAAAAAAGAAAGAAAGAGATGATACTACGTTCGTGTAGTCATTCGAACGATCCTCTTACACTTTTTTCCAACGTTTTCCCGTCCATGTCCGTTTCTAACATACAAGAAGAGAGAGAGTAAGAGAATGAGGAGGAGGAGGAGGAGGAGGAGGAATAGAAGGAGGAATAGGAGGAGGGCATTATACTCGGATCGAAAAGCGCGTGAAGCCGCGGGTGGTGGAGGTGGCGCGCGCGGTGGACGGCTGGATTAAAACTGAAATATTAGAGTACGCGAGCGATACCAGCGAGTTACACATATTTCCTCGGAAATAAATTCGCGGCTTGGCAGTAGCGAGACATTACTTTTTCCTCGAACCTTCGAACTAGCAACTCGTGCGAAAAAGATAGAAAGGGATGGAACGAACGAACGATCGAAAAAGATAGAGAAAAGGAAGGGTATTCCAGTTGGAAAGAGAAAGAGAAAGAGAAAGAGAACAGGACGACGGCGGGCGAGCAAAACGTGTGCGAAACGTGGTGGGTCGTGATATGGGGGGAGGCTCATGGTGGAAGGGGGATGGAGGGCTACGAGTATAGATGGGTAGATGGGAAGAGGAAGAGGAGGAGAAGGAAGAGGGAGAGAGAAGGTAGAAGTAGTTCTTGACGGGCAGTGGTCAGCCGTGCGGCGACCACTCAAATCGTCCTATGCGCATGCGCCAAACCGAACGCGACGAGGACGTACCATGTATATATATATATATATCTCCCCCTTTTCCTCCCTACCCAACCCCTCACGTCCTCATCTATACCCTTCGCTCGTCCCTACCAACTACCCTATCCCTCCTCCTCCCTTCCAACCCCCTCCCCATTACCGCTTTTCGCCCTGCCACACACCAACTCGTCAACCCGTCGAACCCTAGCGTATTCCGGATGTGCGAAACTTCAAACGTCCCTCCGCGACTTCAAATTGCTACATTATTACGACTTCGGCCGGACCGCAGAAACAATTAGCTCAGGCAGACGCACGCGTATTAATATTTCCATTCGGTTTAGGCCGGCGGCAGCGGCAGCGGCGACGACGACGACGACGACAGAAACTGCGACGTAGGAGGAAGAAGAAGCAGCGTGCTGCTTCGTTGTGAATGGCTCGTTTCAAAGTTAATGATCGATGGTAGGATTGTTGAAATAGCGACAAGGACACGTTTCCCCAACCGAGGATCCGATCGAAGTCTCTTTCCACTTTATCGATCATACATTTTTGATCGATTTTTATTGTCCACAGGAAACATATTCATTTTTTTATATATTTTATTTTCAATAGGATACTATTTGGAATTATTAAATCTAATAATATGGGGTTCTATATATGTAATCAATTGAAATATTAATATTGTAGAAAATGTAATGTTACAATAAATGTATTCTATAGCGCGCAATTGATAATTAATCATGATTTTTATTCAATTAATTACCTTTTTTTTCTGTATATTTTTCTTAGTTTCGCGTTTAATATAGTATTATCGAAATACTGCGTGGATAAAACTAACGTGGCATGTTTTTTTCCTTCTAAGATACCCAAGAGAATCTAATTTTACGGGTCGACGAGAAGGTTTCGGAAGACTTAAAGACGTAATGATCGATAGGACGTAATTATAGTCTCTATTATTATATAAAAGGGGTGAAGAAAGTGGAGAAAGAGAGTAAGTAGGGGGTAAAGAGAGAGAGAGAGAGAGAGAAGAGAAAAGAGAATAGCGGACGGAATATCGCGCGACAAAATTCTGCTCGCAGCTAGGCAACCATTTTCATCGATCGCGGGTGAGAGGGGACGTGCGCGGGGAAATGCTTCGAAAAGAGGGGCCGGCCATTTTGTTTACCAAGCGCTAATGTCGAATGACCGCTAAAACTGAATAATAGTCCACCGTGTCGCGTATTAAGCCAAAAAGCAACACACCTATGTACGTTCTCTTTCATTGCGTTGCATTGCGTTGTTTCCTGGAATCAAAAAATTCTTTATTTTTTTGTTTATTTACTTTTCATTTATTCGCATACTTTTATATTTATCTTCTTTTACATCGTCCAAAATATAAATCGCGAAAAGATCAATTGTCGTTTCCAACAAAATTATTATCTACGAGCGAGCGAAGATGATCGGTAGAAAAAAAAAAAAGGAAAAAAGAAAAAAAAAAGGAAAAAGAAATTAAAAAATATTTCGCTCTCTATTTCCTCCTTCTCCTCAACACACCCCCGTCACCGTTCGTTCTCTCTCACTCTGAATATATAATAATTTAATATTCGACGATGGCGTTCAGCAATTTCTCTACGATCCCCAATATCGATCTCGAGGTAGAAAGTTACAAAATATACGGATAGCTACGTCGTTCTCTGCATTATTTCATTTTCAACGATGTTAGGGTGAAAGAGAGAGAGAGAGAGAGAGAAAGAGAGAATACCGCCGGAACTCCTAATTAACGTCACTAACACGAGGACGTAAAGAGAACTAGCCAAACCGAAAACGCCAAGAGAAATTTCCGAAATACTTTCGTAATACAATTAGCTACCTGTATAACTTAAATAAAACATTTGTAACGGAGCGAGTATATGTTAGTAACGTTACCTTTTTGCGATTCGGCAACGTATTACACTTTAGACGTGGTTAATTATTTCGATTTATTGCCACGACCGAATTTTCGCGATAAAACGGAACTCGAAATTACGAATAATTTTCTATTTTTTTTTTTTTTTTTCATTTAAATATATTTACATATAAACAAAAAAAAAAGAAGAAAAAGAAAAGGTACAAATGTAAATCAATAGTCGCGAAGAAATGTGTATAAAAAGCAGAATTAAAAAGTCAGATAAATTACGACGGCTATGCACGAATACGATCCCCGACTACGCTACTACGTATCTCAAACGACATTTCAAAGCAAAGAAACAAAAAAGAAATAACGCCAAACAAACCTTTGACGCGAAATCCAAAAAAAAAAGAAGAAAAAAAAATAGACCAGGAAATAGATAAACGAACATGAAATATGTATATTTCTTTTTTGATTTATTCATTCGTCATCGAGGTTTATGATTCGTCGTAGTCAAAAATTGTCGTCCCGCGTATTTTAGATATCGCAAATTTGGGACGAGTCGGACGTTAAATGAATAATTTCCTATCGTGGCACAATGAAGGCATCTCTGTTTCAGAATGACGCTAAAAACGACACTGGCAGTCTCGTAAAAGAAAAAAAATAGAATACTAACGCATTCTACGAACTCTACGAATGTGGTGGATATCTAACTATGCTGGAATTTGTTCTCTACTGCGATAAATGGGGGTCCAAGAGGGAGGAGGAGGAGGAAGAGGAGGAGAGTCAGAAAGGGGGTGAAAGTTCGAAATCCGGAAAACGTCGACTGTACGACGGCATTACGCGTCGTACTCGTTAAGCCGAAGCGAAGGCTCGTGTCAGAACGTTTCCTAATTAACGTAAGTGCCGTTCGTTTTTGACTTTCACGTGAGAATTTAGCCAATTCACACCCCCTCACCCCACCCCCTCTCTTTCCCACCCCGCCCCAATCTCCTCCTCCTTTTCCTCTTCCTCCTCCCAAATTCACCCCCAAGCTCCTAAACATATAGATAGACAGGTAGATAGACAGATGTATAAAGAGAGTTAAAACACTAATCGTTAGGAATCGTTCGATTTGATGCTCCTTTTACAGGAATATCGATTTACCGTCCATCGGTTAAATTCAAAATTCCCGCTTAACGAGGACGATCCTTGTACACTCGAATCGATCGATTCGGTGTGTCGAGGACTGACCCTATACTACCAGAGCTACCATTCGATAAAAATACATTCAAAGCGTCCTTCCAAGAGAGGACGACGCGCACCTGTTGACCGTATTTCCTTTCCAAGGGAAATCACCGAAAGGACGATAACGTATGCGCGTGGCCTATATGTGTTTGCATTACGAAGGAAGGGCTTTAATATTATTGAGGAAAGAGTCAGTATTTTTTTTCCATTTGATTTCTTTTTCTTTTTTTTTTCTTTTTTTTTTTTCTTAATAGATAAACAAATATTCGTTCGTTTAACGATATCGTAAATGAACGAATTTAGTCCTTTAAATCTTTAGGATTGATTAAATCAAATTTGAATCATACGATTCTAATTGTAAGTTCTTAAAATCATATTATATCTACGGAAATGAAGAATTATTTTATTTAATTCAATTATTTTTGTGTGATACCAAATGTAAGGATAAATGAATATTATCGTCTAATGTATTTTTTCATATAAAATTGAATATGAAATATAAAATAATAAATAGATAAATTAATGAATATATATTATATTGTAATAAAAATAATTAATAAAAAATACAATATTGTGATTCTCTAATCAACATTACACACACACAAAAATCATATAATAAAATAATTTAAAATTATATTTAATCATAGAGCATAACAAGTTAACGATTAGGAAAGTAAGCAAAAAGAAAATCGAAATAATATAAAAACCAATCGAATTTAGAAATGTAGCACGATAAAAAACCAGAGATAAAAAAGAAAAGTTTTGCAAGGATCGTCGATTAGCTTAGCTCGCAAGTTATGTGTCGTTTTTTACCCTCCTCCTCCTCCTCCTCTTTTTTTCTTCTTCTTCTTCTTCATCTACTTTTTCCCTCAGTTCTAGCTAAATCTTTCTCCAGTCCCTTTTCCCTTCTCCCTTTGACTCTTCTCTTTTATCCCTCTGGTTGGTGCGCTAACACGGCTAGGCGCCGCGTTCGAAGAAGAAACTTTACGCTTCGTGTAAACCGACATAATTAACTTCCCGTAGCGACTTCTTAATTGCGAAGAAAAGTTCAAGGACCGTGTATATTTTCCATCGAATCACGAAAAACACGCGTCCTTGTATAAAAGGGAGAAACTTATAACCCTTAGAAACATGCGTCTTATTAATTATTACATTTTTTTACTCTCATAATTAAGATTACATTTCATGCGCTTCGACATATCAAATTATTTAACAAATTAATTATGTAAAAACAAAAAATGTATTTTTTGGAAGTTTCTTCTTTTATTTATTATTCTTGTATTTTATTAAAGAAACAATAAAACTATTATGTGTTAATTGAAGTATAAATATTAATAAAAATTATATTGCATATTTAAAAGTTTGTCTTTCATTTTTTTAAGATTGTATTTAATTAAATAATAAACCTTTGCAGAGATAAGTGAATAATATTATCAATTACAAAATGTTCATTCGTTTATTTGAATTTTCAGATGGAAAGCTTTAGTCGAATGGACGGACGCTTGAATTATCTTCCTTATCGATCACCTACGATACCATATACATAATTAACGCTTCTCGAAATCGTTAACACATCAGTCGAATTAGTAAGGACCCCGCCTCCCCCCCAGGTGAATATATAATTTCGATATGTCATTATAAATCTTTCTTCTTGCAACAACAACAACAACTAACAAATATATTCTTCATTCGGTAATAATAATTTACATAACTAAACGTGATCTATAAATTGAGAATCTTTAATATAAAATCGTATTCAAAAATATATGGCGCATAATAATATTTCGATTAAAATTGAATATTTAGAATGTCGAGGTTGAAAAAAAAAAAAAAAAGTAAAAAAATGAAAATAAAGAAAAAGAGAGAAATAATAAAAAGATCATATTCTTTTGTAGTTTGCAAAATCGATTATCATCACGTAACGGTAATAAGAGGCGAACTAGAGAAAATACGATGAGTTCTCTGAAGCTAACGTCATCATCGTCTCACGGCACCTTCGTAGTCAGCCGCGAAGCTGCATTTGCTACTCAATGCATCTATGTATGTGTATATATATACATACATATACAAATAAACATACTATCTATTTATATATATGTATATGTATATATATATAAACACATCTAAACAGATACAAATAATACATACACGTACGTAACACATATAAGTACAAACCATATATAAACATATACAAATACATACACGTACGTACATATAAATACATATGCACATACACATATATAAGTACATACATTCTCCTCAGAGGCAAAGCATGCTCGCGTTGCATAGGAAGCTAGTACGAAACACTAGGCGAGGTTGTGCAAACACAATTTTCCCCCGTTACTCGAACCTCCTCGCAATCTCTCTCTTTCTCTCTCTCTCTCTCTTTCTCTCTTTCACGAATACTTGTTCACCATCGTTAAAACGGTCTATCGAATCTTAAATCTTCCAAGTATATAGCTCCTTTTCATATTTTCTTAACATTTATCATGTTTATTATTAATTAAAACTCTTATAAAATAAAATACAATATATTTTACTTAATTTTGTATATTTTTCTTTTTATTATGAATTTCTACCAATGAAATGTGTGAAATTCTGAAACGATGCTAAGGGTTTTACTGTTGTACATAAGGTCTAAAAATGTAACACAGTTTGTCCTACAGTTGTCGTTCCAAAATAGGCCGATTTTTAGATAGAAGAACATTTCTCTGAGAAAGATAGGAAAAGAAAACTATTATAAGCAAGATTGTAAGATTATATCATCGTACGATTGTAATCAAATAATCAGATCTAATCTTGAAATAAATCTTACGAATCTACGTGATGATTAATTCATAAATATACTCGTACAATTAATTATGTAAGAATAGAATCCTTTTTTTTCTCATAATTCAGTATTAAAACAAGATCACGACTCTAGTGATACTTTAAAACAATATTTTTCTTTACAATGAGAATACTATTATAATTAATCAAACATATAAATTATTATGTATCAGATTAAATAGATTATTTATAAATTTAATTATAAAGTAAATTCCCAAGATTTTTTTTCATATCTTAAAATTCAATTCGGTATACGTATACGTATAATCATCTTTTTTTACTCTCCCTTTTACGGGTTCGAGTGACTTTGCTAAGAACACCTTCTTACACCTATTAACAGCATACGGTTTTTGTTTTCCCTAACGGGTCACTCATCCATGTTACCAACCGTACCCATGTTGCTTGATTTTAGTTATCGGACAGGAACTAGTAATTTAACGTAATAGAAGTAGAAACTTATTTATTTTAGGGATGTAATCCAACGTGATTAAGTCGTTTACTACGTATGTGTATAAATCATTCAATTTCTTAATGTTACGAATATTATTATTACTTATTAAATGAATAATTTCAGTTTTCAAGAGAGGGAGATAAATAGACAGATACATAAATACACACACACACATATATATCTAAAACGTTCACCGTTATTTACACCACATCTATACGAAAATGTATGAACTAGTTCGAGGATCCCCTTTCTCTCTATTTATTCTTTACTATAATATATAAAAATAATAATAACAAAATAAAATATAGAAAATAGTAATTATCAGGTAGGAAATAGTGGCAATAGAATAAGGAATTTTTGATGTTGTACTTCCGGCTCAAAGTAACGACGCCGAGCGTCGTCAACGTAGTAAAAGAGAATAAGAAAGAGAGAAAGAGAGAGAGATCATTGGTGCTTTTGTCAGCGTTGGCAAGAAAAGCTATTACGGACGACCGGTTCCTCGGCGTGGAGACGGAAGAGGGAAAAAAAATATATAGTAAATTCTCTCTTTCTCTTTCTATTTTTCTTTTTCTCTTTCGGAGAGCTTGAACGAGAGCTACACTACCAGTGAACCAAGAAACTCCACCATCTCTCTTCTCTTTTCTCCTTTTCTCTCCTCTCCTCTCATCTCCTCTCATCTCATCTCTTTATCTTTATCCTTATCTTTCACTCTACGTTATAGGACAACGGAGAATCAACTTGTTTACTATCTTCGATAATATCAATTTATCTGAGAACTTTGAAATTAGCAACCTCGTAATTATCTTCTGGTTTAGTAATTCATTAACTATCTATTGTCTGCCTATCGATGTATGAAACGAGATCGATTTTCGAACCTTCAAATTAAGGGTTTCAATTAGGTTAACATTTTCTAATTCACCGGGATGAAAAATACTTTACAATTTTAATTACGATTAATAATAATAATAATAACAATACTTAACAGACTATCCTAGTCGTCGCGCGTGCCTTTATTAAATAAATATTAATAAAAATAAAAAAATAATAATTATTTCTCGCGAGAGAGAGAGAGAGAGAGAGAGAGAGAGAGAGAGAGAGCTTTAAGTATCGCTAATGAAGCAACACATCATTTGCATTACTAATAAACTCGGCAATGACCAAGTTTTATTCGCATTTGAAGAAAAAATACAAGCAAATGATCTAAATAGAGGACAAGGGTAGAAAATTCGAGGTTAACTGTTGGAGCTGGTAAAAGTAGGCTAATAGAGATCGAGGAAACGGATAAGAAAGTTGCATTTTGTTGTACGTTGACCGCAAAAAGCGTTCTTCCTCTCTCGTTTCTTAGTTCAGAGAAGGGGTAGCAGCAGCAAAGAACGGACGGACACTCCTCGAAGACGTTCCTGGTTCACGGTCGAGTCGCAAAGTGGTCGGTTTAACTTTTTAAATCGTGCTTTAAACGCGTTCGCGCGCGAGTGCGAATGCGAATGCGAATGCACCACGTACACGTACACGTACACGTACACGTACACGAATACGTACAGGCTGTTGCAGTGCAATGCTGTGTATGATGGGTAGGGAGAAAAAGAGAGACAGAAAAAAAAAATCAGAAAGAGAGAGAAAGAGAAAGAGAAAGAGATAAAATAAGAGAGAGAGAGAGAGAGAAAAAAAGAGAGATAAAATATGAGAGGGAAAGAGATAAAGATAGAGAGGTAGAAGGAAAACTGTGCAACTCGAACTCTCGGGTGCAAGTAGGCATGGCTTCCTGCTGGTAGCTGATCCGTGACGCCCACACCGGCCAGCTAACTCTTCGTGCTTCTTGCACGGCTACGTTTCTCGATGGAGACTCGAGACGACCTCGATCGAGTACCGACAGAAAGAAAGACAGAGAGAAAAATAAAAAGATAAGAGAGAGAAAAAAAGATTCGTTGAATATTTATTAAACTGTGATTCTTTCATATTTAATCCCTGTGTATAATAATTAATAAATAAATAAACATTTTAATTGATATATTAAATCATAATTACATACATTGTAAAGAGGTTACGGAATTTAAAGAAGAAGAAGAAGAAGAAATGTTATTATCATCCTGGTTGTTCATTGGTCATAAACTTCTCTATAACGGTATAATAAATAGAATATTATACATTTTTTGAGATTGAGAAATTGTTCTTTTTTTGTATCAGATAGATATCTTCTATAATATTAATATAATATAATATAATATAATGTAATGTATAAAATAAAATAGATAACATCTCTCTCTCTCTCTCTTTTTCTGTCCTTTTTTATCATGCTTCAAAATAATTATATAAGTATTGAATAAAAATATTTATAATTAATCGTATGAATAAAAAAAAAAAAAAATATGGAAAACATAAAATAATTTGAATAAAGTATTTGTGATCGATGACCTTGGTGGTATTGAATGTGATAAGTAAGGTCGACTGGAAGGTCAGGAACGATCGGTGGACACGTCGAGCATACTTCTTTCTTTCTCTCTCTTTCTATCTTTTTTATTCTGTCTCTTTCTAACTCGTTTAAACGGCCTATCCGAGAGGCGCTCTCGAAACTGGCACGCCGGAAGTTGAGGGGCCGCGTCACTTCGAGGAACGCGCGAAAGGGCGTGTGCGAGGGAAAGGACCGTGGGAAGAGGTCCGCGATTATATGCATACTCGACCTTGAAATGCATCGCCCGAGTTTCGCGCGAATTCCCGTCGCAGATAAAGTCCGTCTCTCTTTTCTTTTTTTTTTTTTCCCCATTTCCCTTTTTTCCCCTTTTTTCTTTTCTTTTTTCTTTTTTCCTTTTACGAGCAAAGGGATGAAAAATGTACGCTCACGATCTATGCGTATCCTACATTTTTGTGTTCGAGTACACATTTTTCTATAAAATTTTTATTTAGAGGATTCTGCCGTTTTTTTTTTTTCATGAAAAATAATACAAATAAATACGATCTCTCTTTTGACATTTATTTATATAAAATTAATGTGTATAAAAATGTATGCAACAAAAATATGTATTTAGTGTTGTTATTATTATTGTTATTATTGTTATTATTGTTGTGTATATTTTGTTGCTGTCAATATTTCAGATAAATAAATTAATCCACCGATCCCCGAACAAAGGTTTTTATTTTTGTGTATAAAAGAAAAATATATTTTTAAAATATCTGTACCACAATACTCTCGTTCACATTTAAATGAATATTTTAGAAAGGAAAAATATTATGGTAACAAAAATAGTTGGATTTATTTATAAATCAAAGTAAAAATGTTGATAATTATCTGCCAATTAACAGCAATTCTTTTTTTCGAGTGTCACGAATTATGTGTGTTGGAACACATAAATTATAATAAATATCTGATTATTTTTGATTTGTAAAAAAGAATGAATTTGCGATTTATTTTCGAAGATAAATAAATAAACTATCTTACGCGGGATTGTTTTAGTTGAATAGAAAAAAATTCAAGTTATCTTTCTAAGCGTCGAATCAAAATATCTTAGAAGCGTTTTGCACCTCGTATTCGCGGGCAATGGACCGTGCGTGCGATCGACGACACCGGAAGTCGACTCCCGTTCGTTCTACGACCTCAAGAAGGATCGCGAAAAGTTAACGAGCACTACGCAAGTAAGTAGGTAGGTAGTTGCTATTCAAAGAGATTCCATCGAAGGAGGAAAGATTTTTATTCGATGATTAATTACTTCTCACGCCTCTAACTCTTTGACTCTTGTTTCTTTTTTTTTATTTCTTTTTTCATTTATTTATTTTTATAAAAGATAATTTTTATGAAAGATTTCTAAGATGAG